CACAACAGACTTGACCTCATTTGGTCTCAAGTGATCCTCCCACCTCAGTCTCCCTAGTTGCTGGGACTACAGACACATACTACCACACCTGGCTCATTTTTTTTTTTTTTTAATTTTTAGTAGAGACAAGGTCTCACTATGTTGCCCAGGCTAGTCTTGAACTCCTGGGCTCAAGTGATTGTCCTGCCTTGGCCTCCCAAAGTGTTGAGATCCCATGCCTGGCCTGGAACCATTCCTATGAGTCTTTTTTTTTTAGACGGAGTCTGGTTCTGTCGCCCAGGCTGGAGTGCAGTGGTGCAATCTCAGCTCACTCCAACCTCCGCCTGCCTGGTTCAAGCAATTCTCCTGCCTCAGCCTCCCAAGTAGCTGGGATTACAAGCGTGCACCACCACGCCTGGCTAATTTTGTAATTTCATTAGAGACATGGTTTCACCATGTTAGACAGGGTGGTCTCCAACTCCTGACCTCAGGTGACCCACCTGCCTCAGCCTCTGAAAGTGCTGGGATTACAGGCATGAGCCACCACCCCCAGCCTCTATCAGTCCTTTTTATAGGTATTACCCCAATTTTACAGATGAGGAAACAGGCTCAGAGAGGTAAACAACCTGCCTAAGGCCACACAGCTGGCAGGCAGTCAAAGTCCTGCCTGCCTGACTTAAGCCCACTCCCTTAACCTAATGAGGGTCACAGAGGTCAAAGACACACACCTTTCTCCTCACCCCAGTCCACAGTACCATCAACTTTGCCTCCTTTAAGAATTTTCCCTGACCTCTCCATCTGCAACCATGGCACCGCCCGCACTGAAGCCAGCTCGACTCTTGGCTGCTCCAGAACTGAAATCAACCCCAGTGACCCTTCTTTCTTCCCCCCCACATCCCTAGACTATGCCTGGAGCACCGCCCCTTGTATCAGTCATGGAGCAGCTGAGCTGGAAGAGAACTTGGGGACATCTGATGAACCCTCCAACTGTGCAGACAGGGAAACTGAGACCCAGAGACAAGGAAGAACACTGGGTTAGCAGCAGGGCAGGGCTAGAACCCACGGTTCACTGGACTTCTGTTGGATAAGTCAGAAGGTGGGGTCTGGTCTGGAGAAGGCCTCGGGAGTGAAGCTCCCTTCCTCCCTGCTCAGACGCCCAGCCCAGTGCCTTGGTCTTTCCTCCAGGATCCCCTCGTGTGAGTAGGGGATGCTGGGGAGATGTGGGGAAGTGGTGCAGGATGGGAGAGGCTGGAGGAGGTGCTGGGTCTGAAGGGGTAGGGGAAGGGGCCGGGAGTGGGGGGCAGGAGGATGGTGGAGACCCGACCCA